AAAACCTGTTCGACGGGATGAGGGTGTCACAAAAATGATCTCTCTTCTGTATTTGGGAAGATCCCTGTTGACTTTATGAGCGTGGCTGCTTTGTGCGTTCTTATGCAGAGCCTGGAATGAGCCTGTTTCCCTAAGAGTCGGGAGACTCTTGTGGAGCATGTATAACCAGGGCTATTTTTGGGCAGGAACGCACAGGAATGGAGTTCCGGCTGGCTTCATAGTTGGCCACGCCCACTACAGCCAAAACATCTGCGTGCGTGGCTAGAGAGGGAAGGCCTGGAGAGCGACCCCCCTGGTGACTCCGAGGCGCCGAGGGGTCCCCTGGAAGGATGGGGGAGCCATTTTAATGCCTCCCCGTGCCTTCCCTGACCTGTCCAAGGGCTGGTTTGCCCGGACTCCCTGCAGCTGCGGGGCGCCCAGGCAAGCCAAGGGAAGGCATGGGGGTGTGGCCTAATATGCTAATGAGTTTCTGCTGTTGGGTGTGACCTATTATGCTAATGAGTTCCTGCTGGGCTTTTTCTACAAAAAAAGCCCTGTATAAGCCATCTATCCAGAGACTTGTTCAAGGCACCTCAATGCAATAAAACCATAAAAATGACAGCGTAAAAATATTTTCAAGTGTGTAGCTGTGTTGGTCTGCAGGAGAAGAGCTAGATTTTGAGTCCAGTAGCAACTTGGAGACCAACAAATATTTCATCAAATACGTCTCTGACAAATCAAAGTTTGAGTCCAGCGGCACCTTTAAGACCAACAAAGTTTTATTCTGGGCATGAGCCTTTATGCGCAAGCACACTTCTTCAAATATCTAACAAAGAGAGCTTTGACTCCTGAAAAGCTTATACCCTGGTATGGTTGCCAATCTCCAGATGGTGCCTGAAGATCTCCTGGAATTACAACTGATCTTCAGGCAACAGAGATCTGTTTCTCTGGAGAAAATGTCTGCTTTGGAAGGTGGACTCTATGGCACGATACCCAAGGGAGTTCCCTCCCCCAAGCCCTCCCCTCCCCAGACTCCATCCCCAAATCTCCAGGAATTTCTCAACCCAGAGCTAGCTACACCCTGGAAATCTTGACACCATAAAAATAAGCAATATGAAAACGGACCATTAAAAACAAGTTTCTAAAAACAACCGGAGGACATAAAGAGAGCATAAAACCACATTCGGGGGCCTAAAATGATATCAATAAATATTCTTCCTTCAGGCTTGAAACAGATAATAAAAAGTCCCGTTTTGAGAGGGAATCATTCAGTTCAAAGCCGGGGTACAAAGATAGGTGTTGGCCTGGCACATAAAGGTAGGCTTCAGGCCAGCCTCAAGGGAAAGGACATTCCATGGTGTGCTTTAATTGCAAATGCTTCATCACAACTGGCTACCCAAACAGCATGTCTGCTGTGAAGCACTGGCTCTTGTAAGAGGTCCTCCTGTTCCCTAATTATCTTCTTTAGACACATTGTTTGTTAAGTTCTCTTAGTCAGGAAAGCTGCCAAGCTTCTTTACAAACCGAGATGTGCAGACCTCAACAGGAGGCTTCCTGCCTGGGAAAGCTGGCTTCCTAGAAGCACAAAGAGAATGGCAGAGATCGCCACCACAAGATGTTACAGGGGCCAAACAGCATGCTGGGAGGATGGGCTGGGAGCGTGGAAGGGGATACATTCAGTGCACAATTTTATTGCAGAGCAGATGGGGGTCGAGGCATTTCTTCAAGGGAGCTTTGCGTCCATTAACTGAGAGGCTGTTCTTGCAAAGTATTACGAGCGGCAAGCATTGGTTTTATGCATCGGGGGCAGGCTTGGCACCAAACATCCAGATACTTTGGGAGAATGGATCGGTATATGGAATCTGTCCAAGAATGTCCTTATTTGCTTTGCTCCTCTACTGAGGCTGTGTCCTTATTTGCTTTGCTCCTCTACTGAGTGTTCTTGAGTGTCTGCTCTGGTTTGTTTAAAAAGGACAGGAAAGGTTACGTCCTTGCCTCTTATCTTCTGACTCTTCAAGGAATACATTAGCCAACAACCCAGAAAAGACATTTGCACGTTGAATTGTCTTCAG